GCATGGGCGTTATTCCAGTGCAGAAAGCAAATGTGTGAATTGGCCCTAAAATTTAGTATTTTTGTGCAAATAAGCAAACAATACACAATGTGCTGTGTGGCTGCAATACAAATATTATCCATTGCACAGTCTCTCATAAACTTGCCACTCTGGTGTCCATCACCCATCATACCCTAGGTTATGTGATGCCAAGGGACATCTTACCCACTTCTTGTGAGCTCAGATTGTTATGAACCTGCTTGCTGTGGGGGGTTTCATCATACAGTTCGTGTCCATTGTACTAATTTAAAATCTCACACTAGTCATGACCACCAGTTTCCTGCAGCATGACACATACACATAAAAATAGCTGGAGTTTTGGGGGAAGATGCACGGAAATGCTGTCAGATAGTATTTACAAGCACATGCTCACCTATCATTTTACAAGAACATAGGTGAGGATATGCTTGCAAATAATATTTACCTTGTTTTCACTGCCTTCCTTGATATGTGGATTAAACAGACTTGATTGTAGTCTGTTCTGTAGTGACCCTAGCCAAACATTTTTCTCTCCTGTCTATCACACAATACGCTCTAAAGCTGGCCACATACTGCTTGGATTTCCATTGATTCCTGCTGGTTCAGCTGAAATACGAGTAGAATATACTCCTGCTGGTACTGCTCCATTTATCAAAAGTTGTTCAATTCACTTTTGTCAAAGACGTCTGTCAGGAAATTGACAGCCAAACAGTGGCCCCATCCACCAATACTGGTACTGTTCAGACATTCTGATAGCCATCAAAGAAAAGCCGGCATGCTATGGCTGTCTTTTCTTGTTTTTTTATTGTGATCTCTATGTATGACATTGGAGGTGTCAAGAGTTTATTATTTTTATATATACAGTGCCTTGAAAAAATATTCATATCCCTTGAAATTTTCCACATTTTGTCATGTTACAACCAAAAATGTAAATGTATTTTATTGGGATTTTATGAGATAGACCAACACAAAGTGGCACATATTTGTGAAGTGGAAGGAAAATTATAATTTTTTTTTTACCAATAAATATCTGAAAAGTGTGGCGTGCCTTTGTATTCATCTTCCTTTACTCTGATACCCCTAACTAAAATCTAGTGGAGCCAATTGCCTTCAGAAGTCACCTAATTAGTAAACAGAGTCCACCTGTGTGTAATTTAACCTCAGTATAAACACAGCTGTTCTGTGAAGCCCTCAGAGATTTAGAAAACATTAGTGAACAAATAGCATCATGAAGGCCAAGGAACAAACCAGACAGGTTAGGGATAAAGTTGTGGAGAAGTTTAAAGCAGGGTTAGGTTATAAAAAAATATCCTAATCTTTGAACATCTCATGGAGCACTGTTCAATCCATCATTCAAAAATGGAAAGAGTATGGCACAACTGCAAACCTACCAAGACATGGCCATCCACCTAAACTGACAGGCCGAGCAAGCAGAGCAATAATCAGAGAAGCAGCCCAGAGGACAATGGTAACTCTGGAGGAGCTGCAGAGATCCACAGCTCAGCTGGGAGAATATGTCCACAGGACAACTATTAATTGTGCACTCCACAAATCTGGCCTTTATGGAAGAGTGACAAGAAGAAAGACATTGTTGAAAGAAAGCCAGAAGAGGTCATGTTTGCAGTTTGCGAGAAGCCATGTCGGGGACACAGCAAACATGTGGAAGAAGGTGCTCTGGTCAGAAAGCAAATGCTATGTGTGGTGGAAAACTACACCCTGAACACACCATTCCCACCGTCAAACATGGTGGTGGCAGCATTATGTTGTGGGGATGCTTTTCTTCAGCAGGGACAGGGTCAGAATTGATGTAAAAGATGGATGGAGCCAAATACAGGGCAATCATACAAGAAAACCTGTTAGAGTCTGCAAAAGACTTGAGACTGGGGCGAAAGTGCACCTTCTAGCAGGATAATGATCCTAAACATACAGCCAGAGCTACAATGGAATGGTTTAGATCAAAGCATATTCATGTGTTAGAATGGCCCAGTCAAAGTCCAGACCTAAATCCAACCGAGAATCTGTGACAAGACTTGAAAATTTCTGTTCACAGACGCTCTCCATCCAATCTGACAGAGCTGAGCTATTTTGCAAATAAGAATGCACAAAAATGTCACTCTCTAGATGTGCAAAGCTGGTAGAGACATACCCAAAAAGACTTGCAGCTGTAATTTCACCCAAAGGTGGTCCTACAAAATATTGACTCAGGGGGGCTGAATACAAATGCATGCCATGCTTTTCATATATTTATTTGTAAAAAGTTTTGAAAACCGTTTATCATTTTCCTTCCACTTCACAATTATGTGCCACTTTGTGTTGGTCTATCACATAAAATCTCAATAAAATACATTTACGTTTTGGTTGTAACATGACAAAATGTGGAAAATTTTAAGAGGTATGAATGCTTTTTCAAGGCACTGTACACTCGCCAGCCTTTTTATTGTGCATACCTGTTCAATTGCTTGGTTACACAAACTGCTATTCAGCCAATCAAATGGCAAAAACTCAATGCTTTTAAGCACGTAGACGTGGTGAAGACGACTTGCTGTAGTTCAAACCGAGCATCAGAATGGGGAAGAAAGGGGATTTAAGTAACTTTGAACACGGCATGGTTGTTGGTGCCAGACGTGCTGACCTGAGTATTTAAAAAAGTGCTGATCTACTGGGATTTTCACGCACAACCATCTCTAGGGTTTACAGAGAATGGTCCACAGTAAAACAGGCAACAGTAACTCTGCGACATTCAGATGGTAAGGTGAGAATTTGGCATAACCAACATAAAATGGTTCAGGCTAGTGGTGGTCGTGTAATGGTGTGGAGGATATTTTCTTGGCACACTTTTGGCCCCTTAGTACCAATTGAGCATTGTTTAAACATGACGGCCTACATGAGTATTGTTGCTGACCATGTTCATCCCTTTATGACTACACTGTACCCATCTTCTGATTGATACTTCCAGCAGGGAAATGTGCCATATCACAAAGCTCAGATCATCTCAAACAGTTTTTTTGAACATAACAATGAGTTCGCTGTACTCCAATGTCCTCCAAAGTCACCAAATCTCAATCCAACAGAGCACCTTTGGGATGTGGTAGAAAGGGATATTCACATCATGGATATGCAGCCGACAAATCTACAGCAAGTGTGCGATGCTATCAGGCCAATATGGACCAAAATATCTGAAGAATGTTTCCAACACTTTGTTGAATCTATGCCATGAAGAATTAAGGCAGTTCTGAAGGCAAAAGGGGGTCCAACCTGGTACTAGCAAGGTGTACCTAGTAAAGTGGCCTGTGAGTGTATGTTTGTAATGTAAAAGTTTTTCTTGTGTTAGTTTTCATCCATGTAAATTGGCCTATATTTGCTGATTTTATCAAGTTTTCCATTGCTTTTACTTTGTATATTTAGGAAATTGGCTAAATATGAGGTTGTATATCTTCTTTTTGTACTGCCTAATTCATAATAAATTTTGTAAAGCAAAAAAAAAAGATTTTCTTGTTCAGCCTACAGGATAAATTAAAGAAATCTGTAAGGCCAGCTTAACTGTCTTTCTGTTTGAGTCACTTACGTCTTATCTACTTTAATTCTCCTGTCCCCACAAAATAGTACATACTTGCTGCCCAGCTGTTACTGACCATAGCCTGGCATCTGGTATAACCTTTCTGCCCAAGGAATTGGCCTCATTGACTACCCTGTCGTTACCAGCTGTTTCTGTTGTTTCTTTATACCCCCTGCCTAAAATAACGTTCAGTTATAAAACATATACATTTTTTTTAAATTTGTTTTTGAATTTTTCAGTACAAAAAAAGGACATCTTAATATATAGAAAACAAAACCAACATACAAGTCACAAGTACCACACCAGTACCTAAATTCCATTTACAACACATTTTCCCCTTCCCTAGCCTTCTTCCCTACCCCCCACCCTCAGCCACACCCCTGTCCACATCCCCATACTTCTGTTTTATCCTCCCTCATGAGTCTCTATCTGTCTCATGCTCCTTCATCCTACCTCCTTTCTTTCTCTCGGGATATCCGTTAAACTTCCTCTGATATTTTCCCCTAAAACTAATTCCAGATATTTTTTGATGCTTTAAAGAGTAACCAACTACTCCATGTTTTCCTAAATATATCTAATTTTTCTGCCTCATTATGATATAACTCCTCAATCCTATAGATATTTTCCACTCTGTTTATCCAATCTTTTAATTTTGGTGGCTCTGGGACTTACCAACATTTGGGGATCAAGCCTTTAGCTGCACTGATTAGATGATACAATACCCTATTCTTAGACAAGGTTATTGAAGGCTCAACTTTATAAAACAAACACATCCATGGATTTCTCTGGACCTTAATCCTACATATTTCCTGGATAAGTAATAATATTCCCATCCAGTAGACCTCTATATTCAGGCAATCCCACCATAAGTGACCCATTGTTCCCTTTTCCCCACAACCTGTCCAACACAACGGTGAAACATCTACTTGTTGTTTATGTACCTTATTCAGTGTAATATACCGTCTCACCAAACATTTGTAATTTATCTCAGACATCTTCATGTTCGTCCCATGAGTTAATTTAAATATTTTATTCCTTTGCTGTTCATTTAATTCTGTTCCAAGCTCCTGTCCCATTTTCCCAAGAACCGAGGAGGATCAACACTTTCCATGTCCATAAGAATCCTATAGATCCTAGAGGCCATATGTCTAGGAACTGTAGTTACGTTTACCAGTTTTTGAAATGGATACAGATCCTCCTCCATCCTCAGTGGTTGTGGAGCGTTGAAACACATTGATTCAATTGACAATACCTCCACTCATCCAATGTGAAAAATAAAAAATCTAAAAAGGTGTGCATTTTCCCTTTGTTCAATATAACCTTCAAGCGTGCATTTTTATCTTTAACCACCTTCCGTCTGCCATATAGTACAATGACGGGCGCAAAGTGGTTCTCTTGTTCTGATAGGACGTCATATGATGTCCTTCCCTTCTCACCGCGCATGTGCGGCTCAGGGAGTGCGCCAATCACAGCTGATCACATGTAAACACGGAAATGCCAGTTATCGGCATTTCTCTCCTCTTGAGCTGTCACGCTGACAGCTCGAGAGGTGAGGAGAGGCGGTAATCGGCTTTCCGCGGAGGGGACATGTACACTGATCATCAGGCACTGATGATCAGTGTGCCCTGATGATCAGTGTAGCCCCAGCAGTGCCACCTGTCAGTGTCCATCAGTGCCAGCAGTCAGTGCCCATCAGTGCCACATCAATGCCACATATCAGTGCATACCAGTGCACATTAATGCCACATATCAGTGCCCATCTGAGCTGCCTTTCAATGTCACCCATCAGTGCCACCTATCAATGCCAATCAGTGCCACCTATCAGTGCTGCCAATCAGTGCCACCAATCAGTGCCACCTATCAGTGCCAGGCAGTGTCGCATATCAGTGCGCATCAGTGCCGCCTACCAGTGCAAGTCAGTGCCGCCTATCAGTGCCATATATCAGTGTCATGTATCAGTGCTGCCTTTCAGTGCCCATCAGTGATGCCTGTCAATGCCCATCAGTGCAACCTACCAGTGCCTCCTCATCAGTGCCACCTATCAGTGTCCATCAGTGCAGCCTATCAATGCCCATCACTGCAGCCTCATTAGCGCACATCAGTGAAGGAGAAAAATCACTTATTTACAAAATTGTATAACAAAAACTAAGAAAAAACTTTTTTTTTTCAAAATTTTCAGTGATTTTTGGTTTGTTTAAGAAAAAATAAAAATCCCAGGGGTGATTAAATACCACCAAAAGAAAGCTCTATCTGTCTCAAAAAAATGATAAAAATGTCATATGTTTATTATCAGGTTTGACAACTTGTCATATTGCTTTAACAATCTCATTAAATTAGGCAATGCTATTCTAGGGTTTATGATATAAAACAACATATTGTCCGCATATGCTGCTACCTTATGTTCCACTTCTCCTATTTTTTATTCCTGCTAGATCTATGCACTTTCTTATCCTTGCCAGAAACGGTATCAAGGATAGTACAAATAACAAAAGAGAGAGTTGACATCCTTGTCTGGTACCATTATACATTTTAAAGGGCAGAGAGTGCGATCCATTAACCTTAATCGCCACTGACGGACTATTATAAAGCCCTTTTAGCCACCTTAACATTTTAGGCCATATTCCTAAGACCTCCAACGTATCAAACATGAATCCCCAATTAGCCCTGTTGAAAGTCTTTTCGGCATCTATCAATAGGAATATTGTCGGCAATTTCTCTCTTTTTACTCTTTGTAGGAGGAGCAGTGAACTCAGACCATTGTCCCTTCCTTCTCTTCCTGGAATGAATATCACCTGATCCAGGTGTATCCAGTCCGGCATCAGCTCCTTCATTCTAGTTGCCAATACCTTAGTGTACAATTTGGTATCATTGTTTAATAAGGATATGGGCCTGTAACTGGCACACTGTGTGCTATCTTTCCCATATTTAAGTATAATTGTTATGTGTGCCTGTAAAGACTCCTCCCTCATTTCTAGTCCCTCCCCTATAGCATTCATATAACCACATATTTTAGGAACAAGGAGATGTTTGAACTTTTTAAAATATCCCACCGTGTAACCATCTGGACCAGGGCTCTTTCCTGCGGCCGTATTTTTTGAGGCCAGGATAATATCCTCTGGGATAATTGATCTTTCTAGGGCTTCTAATTTTTCTTGTTCTATTTTTGGCAACTCCACTTCATTTAGATATTTCTGCCTCTTATTCTTATTTTCCTCTTCTGTTTCTTTTTTATTTCTGGGGCTTACGTCGTACAGCCTACTATAGTATTTGTGGAACCTATTAGTGATATCAGTGGTGGTGTACACCATTTCTCCTTTACCATCTTTAATTATTTCTATGACATTCTTAGACTTCTTTTCCTTAAGCTTCATTAAATATTTTCCAGGTCTATTCCCCAATTTATATCTTTCTTTTAAGACCCTACTGAATATCCTTCTTGACTCCTGTTCCATAATCTCCTTTAATTCTTCTCTTTTAGGGTCATCTCCTGATAAACGTCTGTACCTCTCTTCTTTTTATATAATTGTTCTAATTTATAAAGCTCTTCTATCACCCTCTATAATTTTTCCCCCCTAATTCTTTCTTTTTTTCTACACCTATTGATATCAATATACCCCTGATATATGCTTTATGTGCCTCCCAAATTGTGGCCACCGAGACCTCCTTGGTCTCATTCTGCTCAAAAATTGCTAAATTTCCTGCCTTAGCCTTTTCTCTATTTCTGGGTCCTGTAGAAGCATCTCATTTATTCTCCATGTATTTATTTTGTCCTGATTCCTCCCTACCTGTAGTCTCATTGTGACAGGAGCATGATCAGAGATAGACATAACCTCTATACTGGAACTCACCAATGACTCCAGCTGTCTATGCTCAATCATATTATTTTATATTTTAGGAACAAGGAGATGTTTGAACTTTTTAAAATATCCCACCGTGTAACCATCTGGACCAGGGCTCTTTCCTGCGGCCGTATTTTTTGAGGCCAGGATAATATCCTCTGGGATAATTGATCTTTCTAGGGCTTCTAATTTTTCTTGTTCTATTTTTGGCAACTCCACTTCATTTAGATATTTCTGCCTCTTATTCTTATTTTCCTCTTCTGTTTCTTTTTTATTTCTGGGGCTTACGTCGTACAGCCTACTATAGTATTTGTGGAACCTATTAGTGATATCAGTGGTGGTGTACACCATTTCTCCTTTACCATCTTTAATTATTTCTATGACATTCTTAGACTTCTTTTCCTTAAGCTTCATTAAATATTTTCCAGGTCTATTCCCCAATTTATATCTTTCTTTTAAGACCCTACTGAATATCCTTCTTGACTCCTGTTCCATAATCTCCTTTAATTCTTCTCTTTTAGGGTCATCTCCTGATAAACGTCTGTACCTCTCTTCTTTTATATAATTGTTCTAATTTATAAAGCTCTTCTATCACCCTCTATAATTTTTCCCCTAATTCTTTCTTTTTTTCTACACCTATTGATATCAATATACCCCTGATATATGCTTTATGTGCCTCCCAAATTGTGGCCACCGAGACCTCCTTGGTCTCATTCTGCTCAAAAATTGCTAAATTTCCTGCCTTAGCCTTTTCTCTATTTCTGGGTCCTGTAGAAGCATCTCATTTATTCTCCATGTATTTATTTTGTCCTGATTCCTCCCTACCTGTAGTCTCATTGTGACAGGAGCATGATCAGAGATAGACATAACCTCTATACTGGAACTCACCAATGACTCCAGCTGTCTATGCTCAATCATATTGTAATCCAATCTTGAGTACGAACCATGTACCAGAGAGAAGAAGGTATAATCCCTTTCACCTGGATGTTTTACTCTCCGGGTATCACTCAGTTGGCACTTATATAATAATCTCTTCAATAATTTGGACTTCCTATTCCCCTCTCACCTCGTACATGCAGACGCATCAATCTGAGGATCCAGACACAGATTCAGGTCTCCTGCCACAACCAGACAGCCTTTTTTAAATTCAGAAAGTTTCCCTAATACACCTTCCAAGAACATCTCCAGATTTTTATTTGGACCATAAATATTAGCTAATGTATATTCCACTCCTTGCAACTTTCCTCTCAAAAATAGAAACCGGCCCTCAGGATCCTCCATTATTTCCTCCAGTCTAAAATTAACTATTTTTGAGAACCCTATTGCTACACCTTTGGCTCTTTTAACCGGAGAATAATCATAATACTACATTGCATAATGCTTAGTATAAAGCTTAACATTTGTGTCCTGAGTTATATGTGTCTCTTGAAGAAACACCACATCCATGGAGTATTGGTGGTTTTCCCTCAATATCTTATGTCTTTTTGTTGGAGAGTTTAGCCCTTTCACGTTATAAGTCATAAACTTTATCACAGATGTTATCCTGTTGCCCTACTGGCATTCCTATCACGGAGAGATAGAGACCAATAGCTTGATCTATGGACTTTCTTCCTTCCCTCCCTCATACAACCCACTGATTCCATCCCTCGCCCCCATAGCCTAATCCCCCTCGCCATCTTTCTCCCCCTCCTTCCCCCCGACAATCTTTTGCACCCAATCCATCTCCCCACCCCCCTTCCGGCCTATATTTTGCCTTGGAATCTGGTGTGGGGACTCTCCACTGACGATTCCTAGTTTAGGGTGAACCTCAGAACACACATGACAGCGCCTTGCTCGCCTGAACAGATGACATTCTTAGGACAGGGCTAGCAGCATGCCTGACCTCCGAACTACCCGCCCACTCCACACTCTCCACATCCTGTCCCCCTCCTCCCCCTTTGATCCGATCTCAGGAAGGGAGGAAGAGAGGGAATGAATGCAGGATTCGTGACCCGCTGAGGGGAGCCACCGGGAGAAGGAAGACAACAAAATCAAAAACGTTTCCACTCTCCCTTCGGCCCACTCCCCGCCGCAACATCCTACGTTTTTTTTCCTAGATACCCTTTGCCACCCTCCCGAACCCTGCCCTCCCCTCTCTCTACACCCCTCTGACCATCCTTCAAGGTCCACATTCTGTTAGTCTAATTTCTCACAAAAGTCATTAAATTCTTATGGGAATCTCAGTCTCGCCGACCTTCCATCTTTTCACCCAACTAGACACGCAGGAAAAGCCCAGTTTTCTAATTCAAACCAAATTTGACCAAAATTTAGTTTTGTTATTTCGGATTCATATAAATTCATTACTATTGTAACTCAGAAACTGGGATACAATCTCCGAACAACGAAAAATTAGTCCAAATTTCGATTCGGAACAAAACGAACCGCACATGTCTATTGAGGACATGGTACATGGTGTAGGCATTTTTCATTCCTGTAAGCTTTAGTAAAGCAAAGAGATATAATACATTCATTGTATTTTTGTTTGCAGTAAACATTTCCAACACTACTGGCAGGTCTCTTCATCTCCCAGTCTTGTCTGGGTATGTGCTCTAGGGTCTCATATGTCTGTGCTCTCAGTCATAGTTCGTGTACTATCACTTGTCAGTGATCTGCTGATTTTGCATTTGGACACAAAGTTAGGTGTGAACACATGTAGAGAAACTTTTACCACCTGTATATACACATGAGAAGATGTTGGGACATCACTGCTTTGAAGTGAGTTGAAAAAACCTACAAGATTACTGAAGTTATACAGATGTTTTTTTTAACAAGCTCTGTGAAGGTACAATTTTTCTGCTGTGGAGTTGACTTTGTGCCCACACTTACAGAGCAGTGACTTGTTCCTTGGGGCCCCATTCACTCTTCTCGTTTCACAAACATACATTTGTTCAAAGTTTTTTTACTCAACAGCATAGGGCTGCCCATTCATTTGAATGGCCTGTCTTACATACTACAAAGACGTCAAGAGAAGCTCCTGCACCTTTTGT